GGCTGCTTATCTTTGGACATAGGACACAGCAAACTTGACTAATCTAGTATGGCATTCTTCAGAGAGGCGGGGAATAGGACACAGCAAACTTGACTAATCTAGTATGGCATTCTTCAGAGAGGCCGCTAATCTTCGGGAATAGGACACAGCAAACTTGACTAATCTAGTATGGCATTCTTCAGAGAGGCCGCTAATCTTTGGGCATAGGACACAGCAAACTTGACTAATCTAGTATGGCATTCTTCAGAGAGGCGGGGAATAGGACACAGCAAACTTGACTAATCTAGTATGGCATTCTTCAGAGAGGCCGCTAATCTTTGGGCATAGGACACAGCAAACTTGACTAATCTAGTATGGCATTCTTCAGAGAGGCGGGGAATAGGACACAGCAAACTTGACTAATCTAGTATGGCATTCTTCAGAGAGGCCGCTAATCTTTGGGCATAGGACACAGCAAACTTGACTAATCTAGTATGGCATTCTTCAGAGAGGCCGGGAATAGGACACAGCAAACTTGACTAAACTAGTATGGCATTCTTCAGAGAGGCGGGGAATAGGACACAGCAAACTTGACTAATCTAGTATGGCATTCTTCAGAGAGGCCGCTAATCTTTGGGCATAGGACACAGCAAACTTGACTAATCTAGTATGGCATTCTTCAGAGAGGCCGGGAATAGGACACAGCAAACTTGGCTAATCAGTAGTACGGCATTCTTCAGAGAGGCCGCTAATCTTTGGGCATAGGACACAGCAAACTTGACTAATCTAGTATGGCATTCTTCAGAGAGGCCGCTAATCTTTGGGCATAGGACACAGCAAACTTGACTAATCTAGTATGGCATTCTTCAGAGAGGCCGCTAATCTTCGGGAATAGGACACAGCAAACTTGACTAATCTAGTATGGCATTCTTCAGAGAGGCAGCTAATCTTCGGGAATAGGACACAGCAAACTTGACATACGCTGGGAAAGCTGGAAAAAAATCAAAGAAGTTGATGAAATAAAATGAGAGAAAAATGCTAAAACCGATGAGAAAAATGAAAATGTACCCTAGTTAGGTCGAGGGCCCTAAAGGCAGACAAAAAGGCCGCATGTCTGACAAAAGGGCCCTTCTGACCAAGGGAAAGGCTCCCCCCCTTCCCCGAGTCAATCGTTTTCTATACACTACTGAAAGAGAATGCAGCCATTGCATTGGCATGAAAATCATCAATCAAGAAATCACCTTTTCTGAAAATCTACTAATAACCTGTTCAGGAAAGAGATGACTAGGCCGCCCAGAGGGCCCTCAAAATAGTATAGCCTCCGCCATGATAAACCTTAAAACGCCCCTGGAGTGTGGAACCTCAAATCAGAAAAAAAATCCACTGAGAATCACTCATTTAAAACATAAACAAAATGCACCTCGCTACTTATGGTGGTAAACATAGGCATCAGCCAATCAGAAGCCTAGAATTGGGTCACGTGATCTTCATCCGGCCTCCATGCTTAATTTTTGCCTGGAGAAGTGCACATCAAAATCGCCGATAATCGAATTCTGTAAGGCATGATTGTCATAAACCTGGTTAGAAATCAATTCTAAACATCCTAAACTATCATTTGAAAATTAAATTTGTGCATAATTGCTATTCTTGCGGCGTTAAAATGGTTATTTTTTTTCCGAGATTTCAACCATTTTTACAAAATTTCACTTGGATACCGACTTTTCTTACCCTTCAAAAGTAATGTTCTGATGTTAAAATCATTCTCATACTTTCTCTACTGTAGATTATTATTTAAAGAATGAAGAAAAACTAGATTTGATAGAAGAAAAACTTACCTTCATGTATATTGAGGGTGGTTTTGTCGAGGCAAAATTTCAGTGCATCGGATTTTTGTTGTTGACATACGCGTGAAAAGCTGGAAATGTGTACTACGTCATCAATATATCTGTTTTATTCATTACCCTGTGGGAGAGAAGCTACGCACAGAAAAATGACCACAGAGAAAGCGTCGCGCAGCTCACGACGTTATTGGGGCCACTGAGATAGGCGTGTTTATGGTGACGTTACACGTACCTATAGTAGGTATGTGTAGATCTGACGTTTAGCGTCATAATCTTATGACGTCATTCCTGTGATCAGTTTTGCCAGAACTGCTTCGTCAACACCTGCAAAATAGCCCCTGATTGGCCTAGAAGAGTGGGAAAGGCGGGGAAAAGCCCTCATTAAAATGCAGTTGAGACCACTGATTGAGACCCGTATATTGAGCCTCGGTTTCGTAGTTTTCATTTTCAGCCGGTGGATTTTGGTGAGGAACGTCACAAAAATTTTGTTCAACTTTACCAACTAGCCTATTTGGTCTTCATGCATTATTGTTACGTCGTCATCTTGACTTGTCGACCGTGTTTTTCGAGCAGACGACGAATTGAATGACTGCTGGACTGGTCATTTAAATTGAATTTTTACATTTAGCTATTGATTCTATAGTATTAAACTGACTAAAACCAGACGGCTGTCTAAATACTAGAGATGAATACCTGTCATCGCTGTTACAGCTTCTGAGCTAAACCCTAGATTTTCCATTTGAAGACTAGGCTAACAAAATAGGCCCCTATTTGCTTCTTGACCTTTTGGTTGTAACCGGTAAACTCATTGACGTCATATATGACGTCAATGGGTAAACTGTTCCAGAACACGGTCTCGGATATAAAAATGAAGACCCCAACCTCCTACAAGACAGCAGCGAAATCGACTATTCATCTGACTTATCCTCGGGATCGGAACTGGAAGAAAATGATAGTGTTTGGCGTATTGTGACAGTGACGTAAATAGTACATGGGAGTTTGGAAACAAACCAAGTCGAAGGTAAACAAACTCCGACTCAACTATTATTTATTAGTATTATTATTATTATTATAGTTATTATAGATCTACTGTCGTCAGTGTCACAGGCTACTCAGGCTAGGCCTCGAGTTCCGTCGGGATTATTACAGAACAGATCAGAATTAATAGAGTTTAAAACATTTGTAATTTGAAAGTCAAGTGTGCAAAATGAATTTTGTCCCAAATATTATAGCATTGCATTAGCAAGGACATGCTTTACTGTTAAAGTTAACACGGTGGCTATTCTTACGACGAGGCGTAAGAATTATTGATGGACTATTCTTACGACATGGTGGAAGTTCCGGTAGCGCATGCGCAAGTTACAAAATTTTGGACTTGTACTATTTTGCAATTTGGAAGAGGGGATGTCGTAAGAAATTAAGAATAGGCAATACTTTATCTTTAGGTTATGACAAAATCGTCATAGGAATAGAAGACAGGCTATTTTTTACGACAACTACATTGTCCAACTACCATGCTTAGCCTGACATCAGAAAGGGTCATCTCGGTACCGTAATTATAATATATATAGGCCTAATGTAGGCCTTTTTGAAATTCAGTTTTAAAATCTTAAACTTAAATTATTATTTTATATTTTAATTTGAAAGAAAGCTCACATAACATAGCCTAAAAAAGAGAGAAGCACGCAGCGAGAAGCTCCAGCAAGATAAAAGCATTCTTCTTTCAGAAAAAATAAATCATTTTAAATTTAATAGAGTAAAATGGGTCTTATCAAACAATAGGGGGCGTACTGGCACTTTGACGGCCAATTTTAAAGTTTATGGGAATTACTTTTCAAATCTAAGAATCAGAACAATGAGTAGGCCTATTAATTGGTTGATTAGATTCAAAGTTAATAAAACCTTTAAAAAATCGACAATAATTTACGCCCTAGACAACTTAGTAAAACGTCGTAAGAATAGGAGACGGGCTATTTTTACGACGATCTCCTCTTAAAAATAAAGCATTGCCTATTCTTACGACACACCCTCTTGCTAACTGCAAAATAATACAAGTCCAACATTGTGTAACTTGCGCATTCGCTGCCGGAACTTCTGCCATGTCGTAAGAATAGTCCATCAATAATTCTTACGCCTCGTTGTAAAAATAGCCACGGCGTAAAGGCCTAGTAATTAACACTAACTAGTCTCTTTCTTAATCTTAGTCCCTCACAACATGTAACAAATATTGAAATAACCTGAAATTAGCCGAATTTCCCACCTCCATGGCAGTTTAAAGGCAGTAGCATGAATTACCCAAATCCGCCATTGTTTCAACTTCTGATATATCATATAACATTTTATAGTAGGCCTTTATGATATTATGTAATGTCTGAAAGAACATGTTTTTATTGATATTTTTCAGGTTTAATTCATCTGATGAATTTGTGAAAGATGCAGATTTTTCTGATAGTGATGAAGAAGATAATGCATCCAGTATATCTAATAATAGTGATTAGTGATTCAGAGATGCATGACATTGACCACACTGCAAAACTGTGGAGTTTTGAGCACAACAAAGACCTTTATAAATCAGGAATTGCAACCAAAGAGTTACATGGCACTGATTTAACACTATTACAGTGGCTAGCTTTGAACATTTTTACATTTTGTAAACATCCTTCAATGAGTAAGGAGGCATTTAGTGACTTCCTCAGAATTCAGTCATTATCAAGACCTGAAAATAAAGATATCCTTCCATCTGGTTATTACGAAGCTAGAAAAATGGTTGCTCCTTATTTACTGAAGAAAATCGTGTTTCATATCTGCCCAAATGGTTGTGTTGTTTATCAAAAGAGTGAAAAGTATAATTTTGATGAATTCACAAAGTGCCCAGTTTGTGATGAAGATAGATTCTACAATTCATCGGTAAGACAACCGGTCCCAAAGAAAACATTTACATATTTACCTATAGGACCCAGATTAGCTAGAATATATGGTGAAGCAAATCTAGCACAAATTGTACAGTCACATCTGTTAAATACTGCACCAAACAATTTGATTTACAAAACCGAAATGTGGGATATTCATGATTCTCCTGTGTGGAATGAACTTTATTCCAATGGTGGCTATTTCGAAGGTGATAAAATGGGAATTTCATTTGCACTGGAACTTGATGGGGTAAATCCATATCACAATATAGGTGTAATGTATTCAATGACACCAATAATGTTAACAATGTTAAACTTGCCTAGACATATTAGAAATGCATTTGGAAACATAATGTTGTGTGGTATTATACCTGGACAGAATAAATCAGAAGCATGTAATTTGGATCCATACCTTGAAATTCTTGTGGATGAAATGCTATATTTGTGCAAGTGTAGAGCTTTCTCTGAATATCACAAAGCTTCTGTAGATGTCAAATTAAAGTTATTGTTATATGTTCTAGATTACCCTGGACTTTCAAAACTTTTTCACATTCATGGGAGTGGCGGTCTTTGCGGATGTCATTGGTGTCATGTAAGGGGATTTCATTCAGCAGGGCTTGATAAAGTAATTTATTTGTCAAACCGCTCTTTTTTAGATAAAGATGATCCTCTTAGACTCTGCGTAGACAAATTCTATGATAAATTTGAAGATAGAAGCTCGAAACTACCTGCACGAAAAGCCCACGAAGAAAGGGATTATCGTGTTGCTTATAAACAATCAAAAAACAAGGCGCAGGCCAATTCAGTTTCTACAGCAACTGGCTGTAAAGGACCTTATCCATTGTCACTATTACCTGGTCACAACAGGATAGAAGAATCTTTGCCTGATGCATGTCACACTATTAAAGATTTTATACAAAATATAGTTTATCTTATTACTGGGAAGAAGAAGGTCAATGTGAAAAAGGTGATGGAAGCAGAGGCTGCAAGTGGAAGAGAGAAATTGAGGGTAGACCTATCCGCAACAATTGTTACTGGTAAGAGGAAGAGATCAGAAATATCAACAAATCAAGCAAATGAGGCAACTGGCCTACAAGCATATTCACATCTGTGTCTATTAACGGATCAAGAAATTGTTCTGGGTAATGAAAGAGCTGCAAAACTTCGAGTTCCGTCTGGTTTTGGATTAAAACCAGGAAACTTTTTAACTAATACCCGTTGTCTCAAGTCCCATGACTGCAAGCAGATAGCTACCCAAAACATACTAAAATATTGCTTAAGAGGAACTTTAGGCATCAGAGAGAGAACAACTCTTTTCTTTCTCCTTGATTGCCTTCGGGATATCTGTGCGGAGTCTGATGCTGATGATGAGCTTGATGAGTTGGAAGTCAAAGTAAACAAAGCCTTGGCTCTATTTAAAAGAGACTTTCCTGTACATCTTCAGAATATTACAACTCACTTTATACATCATATTGTGCCAGACATAAAAAAATATGGACCTATTTATTCTACATGGATGTACGTATTTGAAAGATTTAATTCATGGATTTGTAAACGTGCTCTTAACATGCAGTATCCCGAAGTTTCTGCTATAGAAACCTACATTCTGTTTGAATGGTGTAATTGTATGATCAGTTCTGGAAAATTACCTGCCACTGCAATATTAACTGATCACCTGGGAAGTTATGAAGAAGAATCTTTAGAAACTAAGCAGGAAACAAGGGAAAGTGAAAAGTGCAATGTTAAAAATTCAGTGATATATTAGCATTACCACATTCTTCCTCAGCGCTGTGTGACACTCAGTCAGTGTATTGACCGTGTCCTACACTCCTCGCGCACAGAGTGCCAAGAAAAAATATCCGATAAAAAAACTCACAATTTGTGTCAACATATTTTAACCTATGTGAATAAAAAGCCAATTAAATTACCTTTCTAGTGATACAAGTTTCGTTTTTGATCTTTATTGATAATGCACTCAAAACACAAGTTATAAAATACCCACGCTAATATTACGTCACTGGCAGTTAGCCATTGTTTTTCCATTAGCAAATTAATTAGTGTTCACGGCACGCCCGGGTTTTTGAGCGGTATCTCGCTGGGGATTCTCATAGCTCGGAAAGTTCTTCACGTACGTCATTGAAACTTTCAACGAATCATCAGGAAGAACCCCGCAAGGTTCCGCGGCATTCCCGATCAAAATGGCGGGTATAGTTTTTGAGATACAAATGTTTTAAAAGATTGAAGTCAAATTTTTCTAAAACTCAATGTTGCGGCTGGAATTTTAAAACGGTGAGAACCTTTATGAAATATCGTAGATTATAATGATATATGTGTCGTCGGTAATAAAAACTGTTTTCATTGAGGAATAAGCCGCAGAAATTTGGTTGCCAAGCCGAGTTCTTACGGCGAAAACTTCACGGGCGATTCCATTCATAGCAAAATGGTATTCCCCTATGACGAACATTGTTGACATCACGTGATTGTCTTTGTTGAGTCTGATTGGACAAACTCGCATGTCATTTCAGCTGTAGGGGGTGGAAGGCGGGTAATCCTTCCATGGATGCTATCACGCACGATATAAACAAAGCACTTGTTATTTTGACATTTATGTATGGATTTGACTTGACAGTTGTCTTGGAACCGAATGACAAACATGTATGTCCCATAAATTAGTTAATTTTAGATATTAATCGAATTACTAAAACTATAATAGTATAATTATTTACCAAACATTTCATCAATAATCAAGTAGTCTAGAGATATAGGCCTATCAAATAATATTATCATTTTGATTATGAAACTCAATAAAATGGATCAATTTTAGATATTAATATAATTAGTAAATTATGTAAAACTACAATTATTTACCAATCATTTTATCAGTAATCATGTAGGCTAATTAATATTATCATTTTGATTAAAATGTAACGCAATAAAAATGGTTTAATTTTAGATATTAATATAATTAGTAAAATTATGGAAAACTATAATTATTTACCAAAATTTTTTCAATAATCTAGTAGGCCTATTAAAATTATTATTTTTATTAAAATGTAACTCAATTAAAATTAGTTAATTTTACATGTTAGATTGTCAGTAAAGGTTACTGGGCCTATATAAGCTAGACTACTTGATTATTGATGAAATGTTTGGTAAATAATTATAGAATAATCTTTCATTTCATTTTCCAATTATAATATGTGAGGGAATTTAGCATTCCTATATCATATAAAACTTTTGAAACCTATTTTTCATGTATTTGTGAAAGATGCAAGCAGTTTCATGAAGGCGCATCAACTTTCGACATTCCACGTCTCATCTTTGAAATATTGAACAAAATAAACAATGTCTAAAAACAACTTCTTTATTTAATATGTTCTCTGGTGGGTATTGGACATTTGGAAACTGTAATCCCCTCTTCAATACCTTTCCAATGATATATTACAACCCATACTTTGAGCACCGAATAAATGACATCCGATTGTGTAGTGTCATTTGATGCTGACCTCATAATTGCAGTACATTTTAATGGCGGTTTTAACCGCAATCCAAGATGGCCACCATCTCACGGAACGCGTATGTTGCAGAGGCATTTTGACGACAGAATTGAATTTGTCGTCCATTTTTCATCTGGGTGTCAAAATTTCAACTTATTGCTTTTGATATTACCAGAGTTATTGTAGGATCTTTTAAAGACTATTTTAGCCTCAAAAAGCCCTATTTCGAGGGCGTGTTTAGCCTATAGATAAGTCTATTACTTTTTGTCAGAAAAATGTTGCCATCTGCGATGAGAAAAATGTTCATAGAAAACTTATTTATTAACCGATTTTGAGAATTTAAAAAGTTTCTTCATGTTTGAAACAGGCTGCATGCATTAAAACAGAGAAAAACACATCATCTGTTATTTGAAATTTTGATGTGGTAATGCTAGATATATTCAGTACATAGATTAGTTGGATTTTGTGATGGAAATTGTTGCGTGGAAAAGTATTTCTATCATAGAGAGCAGCCCCATTCACCAAACGGATTGTACTATATTCCTGTGCTAAAAAGAAACAACAGCCACAAAGACAATTTCAAGCATTGTGGCTTACGAAATGACGAGGGGCACGCAATGTGCGAAATTACATTCTGGAAAATTTGTGACTTTAGGAAAAATTCAATATTTTGTAAAACATACATATTCAACACATGAAGTTATGAACATTCATTTGCCTATATTGGTTGGTATGGTGATTGCAAATATGATCATGAGACAGGGATGTGGTTCGTTGAAACTGCCGAAATCATCAGGAACTATTCGTTTGTTTCTGTGTCTGATATTTCAGAGCCACTTGTTACTGCTGTTGAAGATGATCAATTGTGGATAATTAACTATGATCATCACCCAAATGTAGATAAGAGTTAATAATCATCTGTAAAAAGACATGAAATATTTAATATTTGCCTTAAAATGATAATTTCCCATGTATCATATATATGTCATGTACATAAAGGTCATAACAGAAATTGTGTATAATAATGATTAGAATATGATGTCACGAATTTAAAAAAAAACCAGTATGCTTAAGTTTAAATAATTAAATTCATTATTACTTACCCTTCTTTTTCTGTTTTGAATTCGGTCAGGGGTCTAGATGTAGGTATTTTGCATGTTCCCCGATCTCCAATTCATTTATTTATAGTGAATAAGATATCTTTTCACAGTGAGTTTAATGGCCATTAATCTTCTATACTTCAAAATTTTATACATTCAAAACTTAATGCCCATTAATTATTTTACAGATCCATTAATATGTAGTCATCGATAGATATGTCTTACAATTAATGGCCATGAATAACAGAATTAAGGGCCATAAATTAATTGTCCTTCAAATCTTGTCATGTATTCACTTCTTAATGCCCATTAATTAATTTAATACCCATGAATTTATGCTTATCATCGAGATGTATGACTATTAATGCCCATGAATTATCTACTTATACACAAATTAATGGTCATTAATAGATCAAGTTAAAAAAATTATATTGCGTAATGATACATTAATGGGCGATATCTAAAAATTCTCCGATATTAATGGGGTTTTAATGATCTCTGTGATTGACTTCAGATTAGTACCTACGAGAAATAATGGTGTGAATTAATGGTTTCATGGGATATTCATGAAAATTTAACAGGGAATTAATGGGATATGTATGCAGTAGTGTAATACATGAATGATTAACAATGGACCGCTTCTAGTCATTGATTAGATTCCTACATATCAATTAACTTTTATTGTTCTACTACCAGACACTCATCATTATCAACACAACACTCAGTATAATCTGTTGACGACTGTATACAACTCTATAACACCAATCACAAGATTATGTGGCTTCTATACGTGTGGATTATTCTGTACTGGTCGTACAATTGTATAGTTACATAGTGGAGGTCGATTGTAGCCATGTTTTGAAAAAAATTCTTTCTGTCCGGCATGCAAAATGACCGTTGGGTCAGCTCTCGTTACGGTCATTTTCCATAGCCCTAGGTCCTGACCGGTATATACGGCCGACGTGGAACCCATGGTCCACAACCTTGGTATTACATACTTTACACTATTTGAATACACAGAGCGGCCATTATGTCCGGCAGTTTCGGCCCGATTTTCACGAAATTTGAACTGAACCGTCATTTGGGTGTAACAGTGATACATTTAAATGTTTTTTTAAAATCGGATATAAGTTGGGACCTCTAGAGGGTCCACCAGCTAAAAACCTGATTTTTGTACATCAGGGGTCATGATCCAGGAAGTTACGGTCCAATATGCGCAAATATCAAAGGAACCTAGATCTTTGGATTATAATCATACATTTTAAGTTTCATCAAAATTGGATAAAATATGTGACTTCTAGGAGGGTCCACAACCTTGGTCCGTCAGTTTGGGTCAGATTTTTACGAAATTCAAACTCGACCTTCATTGATGTGTAACAGTGAAATATTTAAACCTTTTTTAAAAATTGAATGCAAATTGTGACTTCTAGTGGGTCCACAAGATAAAAATGCGATTTTTCAAACAATCAGGGGCCATAATACAGGAAGTTACGTTTGGATATGTGTGATTATAGAAAGGAACCACCAAGATTTTTGGGTTATAAACATGTATTCAAACTCAACCATCATTAGGGTGTAACAGTGATACATTTAAACATTTTTTAAAATCATATAAAAATTATGACTTTTTGAGTACCCACAAGCTAAAAACATGATTTTTCGTACAATCAGAGGCAACAATCAAGGAAGGTACATTCAATATGTGGAAATATTGTTGAAAGTTGAACTCGATATGGCGAATGTGCACGCTTCAGTGGCTTGTCTCGAAGTGATTTCTGGCTAGTCACGCAGTGCGATAACTCTCAGCACAAGAGTCTATAAATAGACATCGCAAGTTGAATTCTCTACACATATATCAACTATTACAGCCGTAAAACATCTGTTGTTGATGATTCTGAATAGCAGTAATATTTAGCTTCTTCGTTATTACAGCAGCTTTAGAAATTACGTTTGTTTTATTTCTTAAATTGCTTGATCATTAACTATACCGTTAGGAATGGCATCTTTTGGTTAAGTACAAATAATATCTCTGAAACACGCGGATAAAGCAAGAACATGATACTAGCAGTAGTTTCAGTTTACTTTTACAAGGTTCTAAATAAATATTTTGGTGTAATTATCGAGATATTTGGAGATATTTGTTTTATGGTGGGGCACCAGAAGTTTACATTATTTGCGTACGAGGGGCGACCATTTTGTTCGGTAGTTTTGGTCCGATTATCAAACTCAACCAACATTACAGTGTAACGGTAATATATTGGAACATTTTTTTTTTAAATCGGATATTAATTGTGATCTCTAGAGGGACCACAA